TTGCCATTTTGGCTCAAGTGGCCTTGATCCAAAAGTGGCTATTTTGAGTCTGTTACCATGCCTCTGCTGCGTCCTGGCATCGATGTGGCGGTGCACACGGAGTTCAGAAAATCGGTGGAGACCCTTCTATGCTCGGCTTGCAGGGTGGTTTCCGTGTCTAGCCCTCTGCCTTGCCATGGCAATGCAGCCACGGGGCATCTACGCCCGGCAGGTGCTGGCAATGGGCTCTGAGGTGACAGAGCCCGGTGCGTCATCCTTCTCAGCGGTGGCCGCTGATCATGTGCGTGCATGGAGGAGTGCACGTGGGCTGGATGACAACTTCGCTTTCATGTTCCTGTCCGAGGAGGAGGACGCCTATGCGGAAGGCGGGACCGCGAAGCCTGGTTGGAGGTGGCGAACCTGGCGTACGAGCGCCTGATGCCAGCAGCGGTGGCCGTGGCGGAGGGACCGCCGGTGGGCCGAGTCCTTCCCCTCAACCCAAGACGGGGCGGCGGGCTCCAGCCCCACTTGAGGTGTGTCCGGATCAAGTCCTGCGGCATGTGGAGGTCTAGCTGGTGCGCTGATGGGCTTTCGTGCCATGAGGCCGACCGGGGAGTTGACCCCGGCCCTCAAAGCTGAGTGGGAAGCCTCATGCCGGCGGCGCTCAACATTTGGTGACCTCCTCTGAGCGGGCAACCATCATCAATGCCCTGAAGACCTGGGCTGAGCTGCGCTCACACATGGAAGGGCGGAGTCGACCGCTCCCTCCGCAGCATGTGGATGTGGACTCTTTCTTTCAGTGCGGGACTTCGGCGCCGGTGCGGGCTATGGCATCATTGAGGTGGTTGGTCAAGCAGGCCAAGCTTCCGTTGGACCTGAGTGCGGTCCAGCTCCCGGTGCTGGAGGACATGATCGTGTCCAAGTACCGCGCCAACGACCCTGGCATGGTCCGCTCTGTTGGGATCGTGGTTGACGGGCGCCGGAGTCCTACGCTACAAGCACATCATGCGGTCACAGCCTAGGCGCCTGAGCCATTCCACCTTTCACGGGCGTTTCGCCAAAGGCAAGCAGCGGCAGAACAGGCAGGGGTTTGATTTCTGCGCCCCAGCAGTTTTCGCCAATGGTTGGCCTTGGGGGCAGATCGTGCTTGCCAAGTAACAGCGCCTGTCGGGTGAGGTGCGAGGCAGTAGCGGCCTTTGCTTCAACGAGGCAGGGCAGCCTTGGTTTTTGGCCACGGTTCAATCCGTGATGAGGGAGGCCTTTGGGCAACACCTGGAGTCCACACTCGTGGCGGCGGTTGTGCTGTCACTGGGCGACTGGCAGGACAAGGGCAAGGAGAAGCAGAGCTTGGCAAAGATGGCCCTGCACTACTCAGCGGCGAGGTGCAGTGCTCCAGCTCAGTCTGCTTCACAAATTTCTACACCCGCGAAATTCGAAACTTAAGGGGAAGGGGATTGGATGGCACAATGTTACATGAAACCTACTAGCAAACTCAAGTTAGTGGGCGGATGCAGCTGCCAAATCTACTGCTCACATCTGAAGCTCACCAGGAAGCAAGGCCCGACTCCATGAAGTATTTTTAGAAAATCCGAGGCCATCGTCAAACCCAACAAGACGCCCATGGTTTTAAAAATGACCAGGTTCCGAAGGAAAATTGCTGCATGAACGCGACGCTGCCACTTGCAGCTGAACCAAGACAAATGTTAGCGCAAGTAAGCGCATCGAGCAAGCATCCGCTTGCCTGTCGCAGATACAAAAACACCACCTGCAGCCCTTTAAGGGCAATGCGTGAAGAGCATCGCAGCCACGCGAACGAACGCACATGAAAGGGCCCGTGGGATGACTCGACGCCGAAGATGCACTCGTTGGTTGGGGAGTGGGAAAAGCACCATGAATGTGAATGCTGCTGCCACCGTGATACATTGGATAACTATCGCCAACCTGGCCGATTTGACTGCTGCAGTTGTTTGTGAAGTCGCGGATCCCACGAGCTAGGAGGTTGTTGCGGCCAAATCCAATCTCTTTTGCGGGAAGGCCGTGGGCACCGACAGGATAGCTTCCGCAGCCGCCATAATCGCCGCAGCCGCCGCCAAGTCCATCATTTGCACCTACGGCCGTGCGGGCAACAAAGCTATTGCCTCCACGACCCGCTGCGCTGGCATCATAGCTGCCACAGCCGCTCCAGCAGTGGCGACCATTGAGCCCTTTGTGGGAGCCAACATCTCCGCCTGCATGAGTGGCCCGCAAAATGTTTTGCTCAATACCGCAAGCGCGAGCCGATGCCATCATATTGGTTGCCTCAGATCAATAAATCATGCTCCGGGCTTGCGGCTTACAGCTGCCCGTGTCAAAGACACGTCCTGAACCAAAAAAACATTCGACAACAATGGAAACGCATGGCTTCCACTATCGGAATCAATGCAGCCGTGATGCATAAGGCGCATCTCTGCGCACGCAGCGGCCCGTCGGATAGCCATTTTTTCAGACTGGCTGAGCAAAAAACTTGCGCGTCACTGCTAGATCACTGGTGCCACACAACGTGAGAGCGCCAAAAACCCAACGAAAAGTGCTTTCTCACCTGCAGATGTCGTCATGCGCTACAAACTTGTCGTCTCCAGAGAACTAGCGTTCATGGTTTCTGGGAGGAATTAACCTGCATATCTTACAACATAGTTTGTAAAACTTTAGAAATTTCAAATCACCTTGTCCAAAAATTACGAATTCAGACAAAAAAGCAAACATCCGGCCCACTTTTACCAATTATACAAATGAATCAGCAAAGATTTGTAAAATGGATTGAAAATGCGGCCAAGATCACCAATTTGACAAATTCCAGTCTGAGAAGTTAACGTTGAGTGGAGTTTGGTAGGAATTAGATTGAACAAATCCGGCCAAAAATTACAAATTTTACAAATTCTAGTCTGAGAATTTGACTTCCAGGGAGATTTGGTGGGAAGTAAATTTCATTTTTTACAAATTTGACAAATTTGCAAGATTTTACAAATTTCACCCATTTTACAAGTTAATTAATAGAATTCATAAAATTTGTAGTTTCGGGTCAGATTTTTCTCGAAATCTTACATGTTTCAATCCTTCAAAAAATATGTCCCAACATTACAAATTTTACACATTTACAAATTAGTGTGCAAATTCTAAAAATTAGTTTGTAAAATTTGTAAAGCTTGTAACACTTGTAAAATTTGTAATTGAACTCTTACCAAATCCCACTGGAAACCAAATTCTCAGACTAGAGTTTGTAAATTTGTAATGTTGGACCAGATGTTTTTGAAATTTTACAAACTGTCAAAGTTGCAGAATTTGTACAATTTGTAAAGTCTGCACTCTAATTCCTACCAAATTCCCCTGGAAGCCAATTTCCCAGACTAGAATTTGTAAAACACAAAATAATTTGTACAATTTGTAGTTTGATTCCTACTAAATTCCATGGAAGTCAACGTCTCAGACTATAATTTGTAAAGTTTGTAATTTTGAGCCGTATGTTTCGGGAATTTTACAAATTTCAGCAAATTAATAAGTAGAATTTGAGAAGTCGTAAAACTTGTAACATTGGATCAGACGGTTTTTATATAATGCATTCCTACCAAATCGCCATCAGGATGTTGATGCCCAGACAGAAGCAACCCCTCTCCCTGGCACATTATACATACTCTTCCCTCTTACACCCCCCTAGAGACCTATACAACGGCTCTTTTACCTTGTTAGCCTTGTAGGGGGGACCCTTTACGAGCTTGTCAAACCTTGTTTGTTGTGTCAAATTGAAATTAAGAAGTTTGCAGTTTCTGGCCAGCCGTTTTTTGATTTGTGGAATGGAGTTGGCGTTGGCCAAAGCATGTTCTGGAAATTGCTCCAAAAGAGGGGTCATTTGGAGGTGCCAAAGTATTGACTGGCAGTCCCTGGGGTTCTAGTGATTTGTTAGACTTGTGCCGCTGACTGACTTGTGCAGGGATCTGACGCGAGCCCGGACAGCTCCTTCTGAGCGTTGCACTTTTGCACGTGGGCATTCAGGAGAGACCTGAGCAAGCCTCGAGTGCTTGGCGCATTTGTTTGAGCTTGATATACTTGATATACTTGGATTGCTTTCTTTCAAGCAAGAGTTGATTAGGACATCAGGAAGTTTCAATAAGATTCAGTGGGGAACAGTTTCCAACAATTTGCAGGAGGGGTGCCAGGAATCCGTCTTTGGCCGGGTGTGACTCCGGTCATGACGCATGTGCGTGCTTGCTTGCATTGTGACCATTTTAGTGGATGTGGATAAAAAGGTGGTTGTGGATAAATGTATGATGTGTTTGTTCATCGAGCGAGCTCACCGCGTCAGGAACGAGGCTTTTTGCGAAACGTCAAAGAGCCGACTTTGGTTTGGCATGTTTGATCATGTTTGGCAGGCTTCTGAGAGTCTCGTATATTTTCCAACTCAGAAAATGCTTGTCGATTTTCTTGCTTCGTGCAAACAAAATGCAGCGAAGCTGCAGAAGGGACTTGCGTACGTCACCAAGATCCCCAGATCCTGAGCTGTTGCAGTTCGGCAAATGAATTGCAACTTGCCGTTTGCCGTGTTCGGCGCGTGCTGACCGTGCCTGGACTGTTTGCCTTATTGCGACTCTTCGACCCATTTTTCGCAAGGTCCTAGACGTTTGATTTGGATGGGTTCAGCTGACTGACAGTCACAAGTCACAGTCTGTCGCAACGCCGCGTGGCAGCGGCTTTTTGCTGCATGTACAGATGTAGGAGGAGTGGCGTTGGTGCATTGAGCATGGGCTCCAAGATGTTCCGAAAGATTCACCCTTTGCAGAGGTCACCTTTCCCTTCCTGTCGCTGCTTTGCCGCCACAATTTTCGACGCTCGCAGTCACCCCTTTGCTGGTGGGTGTGAGGTACAGAAGTCGGTGAGTTGAGTGCAGGTCTAGTACAGCTCTGGCTTCCGGGCTTGGTGCAACGGCCCCCATCCGGTTTTCCGGGCCTCACCCTTTGCATGCTAGTGTGCAAAGCAGCCTAGGCTGGGACATGAAATGCCTTTGCCTTGGCACTTGGCACCAGATCTTTCAGACTCGAGCGCTTGCCAAAATGGTTCGCAAGTGCCAACTCGGTCCGAGACGGTGGCAGATGCCTAGGCATCCAGTTTGCAATGTCTCAGAGAAGTCCAAAGATGACTTGGGCCTTCTCCTGGCGGTGCGGGACAGCGCGCGTTTCTCTCACCGCTGGCTTTTCCACGGAGAGCAGCTGCCTCATCGAAGTGCAGCGCCATGCAGTGCGGTCAAATCCGAGCCCAGAGCCATGGTAGCGGTCGGGCTACATGTGTCCTTCGTCTATGACCTTGGTTGAGCTGGAAAAGGCCACGGCACATTCTCAAGGCAGGATAGTGCTGGTCCTCTGTTCCATAGGCCTCTTGGCAAGAACAAGGATGCGGCCCTCAGGGGGCGTAGGTTTTACCATCGATTTGTGGGATTGTCAAACCTGTTGCGTGGGTCTTTCCAGCACTGCGTCCGACAAGCCTCGGCTTCTTGAGCGCGCAACGCTTCTGCATTGTCTTGCCCTACGAAAGTAATCTTTCGGCCTGTGCGATGGTCAATGCCAAATCGATTGTAAGTCCAGTCTCCATGTTGACCCTGCCATGCCGCACGCTGCGCAAGCTGCGTGTCCATAGCATCCGGCTGGGGTTCCCCCACAGCATCTGACGGCTTTACCGCATGCTTCGCTGGCGGCGTTGGCTTCGAAGTGTTTGATAGGCGTCTTCCGTTTGCTCTTGGCGCTGCCGCAAAGCCGAATTTTCGAGAAGGTGGCGCCCAGAAGCACCATCTTTTCAGATGGCGCGCAGGCTTGCTAAGTGTGGTCAAGGAGTGCAGGAAAGGCTTGAAGCGCAGACAGGTTGTCACCGATCCCAGCAGTTTGTCCGCAAACGCGACATCCACGCAGCTGAGGAGTTCATCCATGGACGTGAAGATGGCGCCAAGCAAGGCTATGCCGGAGCCCAGCGGGCCATCTGGAAGAGCTCTTGCTTAGCACTGATTTCCACTTTCCAATTGTTCCAAGTGGATATTTGGGACACAACCTCACCGATCTAAACCCTCACTGCTCTGACGTATCGGAACTTCCGAGCGTACTCCGCGCACAAGACTTGCCGGACAACTGCGAATGAGCTGCCAAAGCATGCTGCTCGCACGAGATTTGTACACTGGAAAGGCGATTTTCGAGCCGGACCTGCCACAGCGCATTCCGCACACAAGACTTTAATCTTTCTGGGAAGCTCATTGTAATGGAAAAATCAAAAGTTCAGATTTTCTCGCAAATCCGCTGGGGAAGTGAGCCAACAAGCCCACCAAAAACCAGCACAAAAAGCGCAGCCAAGCCTGGAACCAACCTTAAGCCAACCTTGAATTTAAAAACCAAACAGCGCTGGTGCAAAACCTGTCAACATCACCGCAGAACCAAGGGAGATTGTGCCTGCCAAGACACAAACCCACGAACAAAGCAACAATCAGAAAGAAAAATCAAAAACTATCGGACCCATCAAATTTGCGTGAAAAGTGCACGTTCATGTGTTGCAGACTCATGGCCTGCGTTGAAGGCCAGGCTATTTTTCTACTACCGGCCAAGGCAACGCCCCTGTATGCCCCTAGGTAGAAACAGGAACGCGGTCAGCAGGTAGTTGGATGCCACAGCCGGGCGGGCGCAGGGCTAATAATTTTTTGGTGTGTTTTCTTCCTGATTGAGTGAGCCGGATGTCCAAATCTGGGCGTCCCTCAGTCGAGCCGCATGCCGCCCACAGCTAGGCGTTTTCCGGTAGCCTGCTTCTGTTCCCAAATCGTCTGAAATGGGAAAAATGAAAGTGACGGTGGCGCGAGAATGCACCTTGAGCCAAATTTGAAGAGATCTCGGAAGTGCAAAACCGAGCGCTGACAAACTCGGGCAGCGGCGTGTGTCCGCGGATTTTCAAAGCTCTCCGCGGGCGGTCAGTTTGATAGCTACATTTCTCTGAGCTTACGGGCGCTGGCTGGAGGAAGGTGCAGAGTATTTATTTGCCATCGGATGGCTTCGGATTGCAGGCATGGACTTGCTCAATTTCTTGGATGCAGTTTACAGTTTCGCCACAGGTGTTTTCGAGCTTCCAGCGCATTATATTTGTTCTCATGTGTGCTCTTTTGCCAAGAGTAGTCGGTCGGCAGCTTGGGCACAGCTAGGGCAATTTGTTCGAAAGATTTCCTGGTGCGCAACGTGAGTGACCTGAATCAAAGCAAGCTTCATGTTGCTTGGGCAGTGCGATAGCATTGTTTGGGCATCAATCCAAATATCGAGCAGCGGGAGGGGGGTTGGGCTGCGACAAGGGAGTGTCACAGCCCCAGGAACGTTGTGTTCACAACTGGCTGGGCGCGACGCCGTCTCAGTCGAAAGCAAAGTAGACCCGCCGGCTGGCCTCAGATGCCGTGATGGCAGAGGCGCTCAAAGAGTCGAACAAGGAAAGGGATTTAAACTGATTTAGACAAAATCGCCGTGCAAAGAGTGATGGCAGGTCAGAGCGCTTCCCTCATGGCATGGACAGCTGCCATTCTGGTGAGGCCCTCGCCTCCGAGCCAGTTTGAGACGGGATGGCGTTTGCAGATTGCATAGATTGCATCATGCGCCATTTTTTTTGCAGCGCAGGCACTTCCTGATCTTTGCCTTGGGCAAGGCAGAACCCAAGCCTCAGCGCATGGTCTGTCGGCATCGGCGAGGCAGACATCGCCTTGCCGTCCTCGGTGGTGGTCCATGGCCGCCCGGGTGCCCAAGAGGACAGAGTAAAAAAGAGAGAAACAACGCTATGGAGCGAAGCTTAGCTTATTTGGAGTCGTTTGGTCATTCCCCAAACAGCGAAGCATTGAGGTTCTAACTTGCGGTATAGAGAATGGGAAAGTGTGACGCCGGTTCCGGGTCCTGTTTTCCGCTTGTCTTCCTGTCTCCCAGTCTCTCCGGTCAGATGCCAGATGCTGACTCCAGGGTCGTGTCTCCCGCTTGTCTCCCTGTGTCTCTCGTGTTTCCTGCTTGTCTCCCTGTGTCTCCCAGTCTCTGCGGTCACACCCCGGATGCTGTGACGCCGGCTTGCGGGGTCGTCTCCCGCTGTCCCCCTGTGTCTCCCAGTCTCTGAGGTCAAATGCCAGATGCTGTGCTCCCACTTGTGTCTTTGTGTCTCCCTCCCAGTCTCTGCGGTCGGATGCCAGATGCTGTGACGCTGGCTCCGGGGTCGTGTCTGCTTTGTGTTTGGATGCCAGATGCTGTGACGCTGGCCCGGGGGTCGTGTCTCCCGCTTGTCGTTTGTCTCCCAGTGTTTGCGGTCGGATGCCAGATGCTGTGACGCTGGCTCCGGGGTCGCGTCTCCCGCTTGTCTCCCTGTGTCTGCCATCTCCCGCTTGTCTTTCTGTGTCTCCGTCTCTGCGGTTGGATGCCAGATGCTGTGACGCCGGCTCCTGCTCGTGTCTCCCGCTTGTCCCTTTCTCTCGCAGTCTTGTCAGTCTCTGCGTTCAGATGCCAGATGCTGTGACGCTGGCTTCGGGGCTGTGTCTCGCAATGTCTGCAATGCTGTGACGCTCCCAAGTTACCTTAACTTTTTGAGCCAAGATGTCCTCGGCCACTTGCGCTCGTTGGCCCCCGTAAAGCCGTGAAAGCTCGGCCGAACGGCTGTGATAACTCGTGCGGGAAACTGAAAGGCCGTTACTACTCCGTGAAAAAGCCGTGAAAACTCGTGAAATTCACGCTCTGAGTTATTTTGTCGTCGCGACACCAAAAACCTTCTTAGCCCATACGGCCTAAGTAACTCGCGAATCAGATGTCTCCCAGTTCCTGCGGTTCTCCTGTGTCTCCCAGTCTCTGTGGTCGGATGCCAGATGCTGTAACGCCAGCTCCGGGGTCTCAGTCTCGTCAGTCTTTGCGGTCGGATGCCAGATGCTGTGACGCTGGATGCCAGATGCTTGTCGCTTGTCTCCCAGTCTCTGCGGTTGGATGCCAGATGCTGTGACGCTGGCTCCGGGGTTGTGTGATGCTGTGGCGCTGGCTCCGGGGTTGTGTCTCCCGCTTGTCTTACTGTGTCTCGCAGTTTTCTGCGATGCTGTGACGCTGGCTCCGGGGTTGTGTCTCCCGCATTCTGTGTCTTCAGTGACGCCGACTCCTCATGTTCCCTGTGTCCCCCAGTCTCTGCAGTCAGATGCCAGATGCTGTGACGCCGCCGGCTCCGGGGTCGTGTCTCCCGCTTGCCTCCCCCTGTGCTCCTAGTCTTGTCTCCCTGTGTCTCACGCTTGTCTCTCGGTGTCTGGATGCCAGATGCTTCCCGCTTCTCTCCCTGTGTCTCCCGAGGGTCCCGGGCAAAACCAATTGAAGCTGCTTCTTCTTTGCAAGTTTTGGGGCTGACCTGACCTTGCTTGCTGCCACCTTGCTTGCTGCCACCTGGCCGTTTTTTAATGCTTACAGCCCTTAACAGGAAAAATGAAGGTCCGGGTTCCGGGCAAAACCAACTGAAGCTGCTTCTTCTTTGCGAGTTTTGGGGCTGACCTTGCTTGCTGCCAGCTGGCTGTGCTCCTGCTTGCAGCCCTCAACAGGAAAAATGAAGGTCCCGGGCACTTACCCAGTTTTGAGGCTGACCTGCCTTGCTTGGCATCCAGAACCGGCGTTCGCCTCTCTTCGGCTCACGTGGCAGCATCGCGCAAGCGCAATTGAGAAGCATCAAAAGCAGTCCAGCTAGAAACATAGATTCGAAGTCAGAAGGAACGGCTTGCAAAAAAAATTAGCACTGGGGAAAGGGCATGTCGCAGATTTTGCTGTTAGCCTGTGCAAAGGATGTGCCTCTCTCTTGGTCAAGCGCAGGTTTGCATCCTTGTGGAGCATGCAAGCAATGTCGAGCCTTAAATATGTATATTTTTCTCGATAAACAAACAAATCGTGACGTTCGGCTCATTGATTTGCTCGAGATACTGGGCTGCTTTTTGGAAGCCAGTGCCGCGCTTCTTGGTCAAGTGCAGGTTTGCATCGACAGCGGAGACAAACTTCGCTGTCGGACTTCTGGCGGGGACAAAGCGGTTTCTTGACATGTTTTCCTGTTCGAGTGCAGGTGGACGAAAGTGGCAGACAATTGAGGTTTCGGGGCTAAACACAGCATTTAGCTTGGACTTTTGCCAGCGCTGTGATGATGAGGGTGGATGAGGAGGATTCTGTTGATTCTGTGGTAATGGGTCAGGATGACGAGGATGAGGAGGATGATGATGAGAAGGAGGGCGATGATGAGTGTGATGGTGATGAGCCACAGAGAAGTCGACGGTTTCGTTGACAGTTTTGCTCCGAGTCAACAAACCCTTGGAATGGAGAAGGGGCGCGGCTCCACTAGGCATGTTACCAGCGAAGCAACTAGAGGGCTTGCGCGGGTCAGCCACCATCTTAGCCAAAATCGTATGAAGCGGGGGGAGGGATGCAGGAGCGCTGCAGGAAAGACACCAGCAAGTTGCGCAAGCAAGTTGCGTTAGCAAGTAGCACTAGCGAGTTGCACTAGCAAAATGCCACTAGCAAAATGGCGCAAGCCAGTAGCACGAGCCAGATAGCGCTAGCGAGATGCACGAGCCAGTGGCGCTAGCCAGTGGCACTAGCAAGTAGCACCAGCAAGTGGCACTAGCAAGTTGCAGTAGTGAGTTGCACTGGGAAGTTGCAGTGTGTTGCGGCAAGCGCTGCGCGCAGAGAGCTTGCTCAGACAACTTGCTCATTGAAACTTGTTCAGAGAAACTTGCTCTGAGACTTGCTCAGATCGTTTGTGCCACAAACTTGCTTGGAGAACTTGCTCAAAGGAACTCGCGCCAACAACTTGCTCAGAGGAACTTGCTCAGAGAACTTGCTAGGATTACTTGGCGCCACGCACTGCTCATGCTTTCGGGCCACCCATCTTCTAGTTTCCTCTTGGTAGCATCACTGTAGTTCGAGCACCCTTTCTTGTTGGCAGTGCTGTTGTAAACCTCGCCTCCTATCCTGTTGCCAGTATTTAGCACCTTCTCCTGGATAGCCATGTGGCCCGGCCAAAATCATATCCAGTCTTTCGCTTCGCTAGCTGGTCCTGCGACGCTTTTTCCTCTTTGCAACCTCTGTAATCCAGTCCCACTGACAAACGCATTTTGCTGAAGCATTTCACACCTTCGTGATGCCAAGGTTGCGGCTTTGACGTATCTCGTTGCCTCCTGGTGGGACGTCGTAAGGTGCCATTATCATTCTCTGAGGCGCTAGCTTCCCTACAGTCTCTGGACCCATGAAACACCAAAGGGGTTCAACGTGAGCTGTGTTGCATGGCGCTTGTGCAAGCCTCCCGCAGTGAATATTCTTGGAAATCCGAGCAATTCCTTTTCATTCTCGCAATCAACGTTCTTATCCGAGATCTCGACTTGAATTTGGCAGCTCTGGGCGAGACTCTGATTTACTTGCTCGCAGCACACGTGGCTTGTCGGGAAACCAATCTGGAGGGATGTGCTGATAGCATCAAGACCATCGCTCACCGAAGCAACACGTGCTAAAGACATGGCCCATCCATTTCTTCTTTGACGACACAGCCTCGCCTCCACTATGCCTTGAACATCGATTCCGACCCGTTCTCGCAAAAGTTTTCGGTGCTGCTGGACACTCTGCGTGCGTGGCGAACTCCCCAGCAACATTACGGAATGGCGGCTCTGGGGCTCAATGTGGTTTTCATTGCAACACACGGTCATGGCCATGTTTCGACACATGTTCGGTGGCTGTATAATCTAATAAGAGTTGCTAACGCCGCAGTCTGCAAGTTTATGCAAGTTCTCTCTTGCTTTGCTTGTGGCAAGACCTTTATGCCTTTAGCCGAGCTCGAGAAGAAGATATGTGCCCAGTCTCGGCCGCAAGCTGATGATACCGATGTGCAAGTTTCAGCAGAGTAGCGAGACGGCCACCAAATGCTGCGGTGATGGGAAAAGTGCACTGAGTGTCCGTACTACGGAAGTTCCTTCGAGACTTCCTTTGATTAAATGCCAGGTGTTAGGTTGATTCACCACGAATCCCTGGGGCCTTCACTCTCGAACCTGGCATTGACATGGCATTTTCCTCCTCGAAGTTGATGAACAACATCGATGCTTTTACCCGGCGTCAAGGAGATGGATGGACCCGATGTCCTCTTCCCAAAAAGGGGACTTCCTACAGGGAGTTGCTCACACAAGCTACTCAATTTCGCACCTTACATGAAGGAGACAAGCCTTTTTGGGGTTATACAGACCTGTCATGTTTTTTGCTGTTTGGGGTCAAGGCTGGTGTAATTTTACACAGGCTTCACATGTGACACAAGTCCTTCCCAGCGTTTTCAGCCCCCAAATTCTCTCAACAACCAGTCGTTTGGCGTCTTTGTCTTGGACTCGATGGATATGCTTTATGCCGTTCATTCGCGTGATTTCGTATGTGCTGTAGAGGCCGGGGGCGTAACAGCAACATCAATGGTATTGGCCTCAGTGCTCTCGGCCAGAACAGTTTGCAAGACTGATCGGCAGTTGGCTTTGCTAGTTTGGCCTTAAGGTGTGTACATACGAGACTCAGCGTGCGAGGGGCGTGCGAGTACGGGCCCGAGGGCAGGAGTGAAAATGCTTGACGACTGAAATCACGAAGTGAGGCGCTTGCTACAGACGACCGGACCACGCTGGCGGTCAGCCGATTTTCTTATATTTCGAAGGCGGCTCAGATGCAAATTGATGCTGCTCGCAAAGTGGATCAATTGCGGATTTGCAGGGGAGTGGCGCCTTGGACTGTCGCCAGATGACGGCAGTGTGGAGCTCCTGGTACACAGTTCACGGGGATGCTTGGGCAGTCTGCAAGGCTTGGGTCCGTCAGGTCTGGGCATTTGCCCGCAGCGTGTCCCCTTCGCCACTGCTCATAGACCGTTCCTGGGAGGCTCCTTTTTTTTGGTTTGCTCGAGCCGGCATTGCAGCTGCAGGTGTGGGATGGCCAACGTGTTGTTCAAGATCCACACCTTAGAGTCAGCGATCTTTCCTTGATACCGCAGGTCTGGCAGACCTCATTGATATGCCTCTGTTGGCGCAATCGCCGGGCGTTTTCCATATTTGACAGGTGCTTCTCCTGTCCTTCGATAACTCGCTCGAGCCCAGCTTAAGTCTCTTGAAGCATACCAAGAAGCGCTCAAAAGAAACTGAAGTGTCATGGCTCAAGCAAAGGTTCCATGAAAGTCCTCACCCCCTGTTGACTCATTGCCCAGGGCCTTCAGCAAATCCAGGGTGTGCTGATGCAACAACCTGGGCTGCAGTGGCCTAAGCTTTGCATGGGAGAAAGCCTTGCTGCACAGCTCAGGTGGGACGGCAGGCCCTACTACAAGCATACTGCTTACCAGGACCTTCGGATCTTCGGGCCTTCGGATCTTCGGGCCTGAAGTTGCGACCTGAGCGCTTGCACGACCGCGCTTGCAACTCGTGTTGAGGCCATTGCCTCGAATTGCCTCGAATTGCCTCGAATTGGCAGGAGCTTTATCTTCTTTGTTCCGTGGCCGAAGGCCACTGGCGCTTGGGGCCTTTGCCCCTTCAAGCAGCTCCTGGAAGGAGTGGAGTGGGCTCGCAGCCGTCGGTCTTTTCCTCAAAAAGATTTGAACGTCTCCAAACTAGATTTGAGTCGCAAGACCGGCATCATCTTGGCTTCTCTGCACGGGAGTTGTTCTAAAGGTCTCCGCGGGGCTTGGCATTCGACCATGGATTTTGGTTGAAGTAACTCTGCGAAAGATTCGCGATATAGTTTTGGCGCAGCAGCTATTTTGCAAGTCCTCCAGTTAGGAGCACGTGGCGGTGAATCCGCGACAGATTCGTCGTGGTTCATAAGTTGACTTAGAGCAGTGTTCACATGTATGCCTTGTGGCCGGATCGCAGTTTAGCTACCGGGTTTAAAACTGTGTTTGGCTGGCGCAAAGCCACCCAATAAAGGATGACAAGACAGCAGCGCCCTCTCAACGTTCTCTCACCAAACTAAGTCTATGCAGCACACCGTGTAAATGGCCAGGATAAGTGTTTTGATGAAGTCAGCGTTCTGTGGGCTTGGAGCAATACTTGAGCTTGTGAAGTCGACACATTCACGGCTTGCTGCGCGGAACGTCAATGGGCTGCCGGCTTAAGTGGCAGCTCGCAGTGCTCGCAGATACCGATTTGGCATGCCCCGGCCCAAATTGAAAAATGCCTTGTTCTGAATTGAAGCAAGCGCTGAAGTGCAGAGGCATGTTTGGGGAATTCAAGGTTGTCTAGAACACCAAACAAGATATTTCAACAAGGTCTTCGAATAGCACACCTGGGCCAAGCGCACCCTGGGGGCCTACGTCCAACGAAGGTTGGCCACGTGCTTGGATTTTCTTATGGGAATTGATTGACAACTTCTTTACTCGACAAGGATATTGCATCACAAGAAACCTGAACGCGGAACAATTGCCAACCGCCACAGTGTCAGCCTTTCTTGATCGACACAACGTAATTGTCCTTGTATGCCCGAAGGGCCGCGTGTGTTCACCAGCGTGAGGTTGACCTTCCAATTGGATCGCTTTTTTGCAACAGGAGTCACGCCTCAATGTTGTAGACACGCTTTGGGCTTGTGCGTTCAGCGTCTGTCCGTAAGGCTACATGTCTCTTGTATCTGAGGCGTCTCTGACATCCGGCGCGTTTCCGCTTGATGGCCTCAGGCTTTGGCAGCTCCAGCGCCCCTGGCCCCGCTTGAAACGCCCAGCGTCTGGACGCGATGGACGCGATGGATGCGATGGATGCAATGGACTTGCAGCGTCAAGAACTGCAGAACTACCTTGCCTTTGAGGACGCACCTCAGCCCCGCTTGAAGGAATGTAGCCGGCTGACGCCAAGCGGTCTTGAACAATGCGTGGGGCACCCTCGCGTTCGGCGTCAAGTGCTCAGGGCTTGGTGGTTTAGTGGTGGTTGCATCGGCGGGAAGGGCATGTCTGCCGACCCCCTCATGCAATTCCTTGTCATTTCGGATGGGTGGTAAGACACCCTAAAGCCCAAGGTTGAGACTCATGTTACTGATTCATGTTTGTGACTCATTTTTGAAGGCTGGCTTAGCTTGAAGTGGCTGTCGCACACCTCTCCTAGATTTGACTGTTATTTGATGGTGGCTCATTCCACCAAAATGCAGCAGAGGATCTGAACTTAATCTGATCTCGATGATTGCTGTTTGAAAGAAGCCGTGCTCTATCCTTGAGATCTCTTCCGCAAGAATCTCTCCAATAGCTGCGGCCGGTTTTTCTGGCTGTTGGAATCATCGACCGTTTTTGGTCGCTAGACTACGTTGCTCTTGTCAGGCTTCTTTGTCTTGGGGTGCTTGGTGACGGATTTGATGTTCATCGGAGACAAATGCCAGTCGTGATCTCTTTTGCTGTTCAGGAGCACCTCTTTGTTTAGCTGCTTTATACGTTCTGAAGACGATATTTGAAATTTGGACGTGCAAGAGTCATTTTGCTGTAGTACTTCTCTCTTTCTTTAGTGGTCATGCTCCTGTATACTTGTTCGTTGATTTGCCGCTGAAGCCAGCTCTTCAATCAGTGGAAGAACGTCGAGAAAGTCTTCTGGTCATCATTTTACCTTGTGGTTGTAGAGTAGCATCGCTTTCCTAGTCGTCGTGGTTTCCATTGTGATCTCAAGGCGGTCCTGCGAGGAAGGATGCACCATTGTGTTGAACTTGACCTTTGAGGCCTTCCAGCAAAGCACACATGAGTCCGACTCTGGAGTGACAAGGCTGTTCTCGAGAAGCAATTTGGCTGTGTTGTTGAAGTCGCCGATCATGATGTTGCAATGATACTTGCGCACCAATGAAATGAGCAATAGCTGAATGGGACGATTGCTTGTGGTTTTACTGCGTGAGTTGGGCTGATGCGAAGAACAGCAGCGGCAAGGAATGGAATTTGGCCCTGTGAGCGTGTCGTTGGTCGTAGAGGCGGCCTGTGATCATACCTCGATGGTGGGTATTTAATTGCACTCACCCGTAGTGATTGACTACTGCTTCGTGGCAGACGTTCTGCGTCTCAGTCTCTCGTCTTCAACTTTGTTTCCTGCGCGCGTAACGCAATCAGGTTGTGGCTTTGCGTAATCTTCATCTTGAAACACGCATGGCTCACGATGATCCTTCCTTCGGCACGATCCCTTGGAATCTTGCATGGATGAAGTTTGGATGTTGTGAGAGTTGTTAGCGGATACCAGGTATTTCCAGGTAGCCATTGATCCGAAGGCATGTGCATGTGGAGGCTTTGCTCGGCCCAAGCCACAACGGCCCCCTGCTATGAGCCTGGTCAACAGGTGGCGATCATGTCAGCCTTGGCAACGCGGGACAGCCAGACACAGCAGTCAGCAGATTAGATCATTACCGACACCCCTGATCGCATCTAGTTTTTAGATGTGAATGCGTCACCTCCAAAAATGGAGCTAGTCTGATGCGTTCGCTCTAAATTTTAGGGTCGCCTGAAGCAAAGTTGCCAGGCTCTTTTTTCGAAGCCGTGCACTGCGCAGCGTGTGCGCAGCCAACTGGGTGCAGAAACTTCAGCGCCGTGCCTTTGAAACAGAGCTTAAGCGAGCAGGCGCAATGCTTGCTTGTCTGCGCGGGACGCGTGGAGGTGTGACGCAGCAGCCGCGGCTTTTGGAGCAACAAGGCAGCGAAGATGCAAAGACAAGCGCTTCCTTCCAGCCAACCCAAAAAAAGTTCAACGCTCGCGTTGCGTGAGCAATTTGTGTCTTGATCTCAGTTGCATCTTGACTCAAGCAACCGCGCGCGTCCACTTCCAAAGTTGGCCGGGCAGTTGGGCAAACAAACAAGTTGAATTTGTGTGTGTTACGTCGTTGAAACGAGATCGCCGTTGCAACTTGGCCAGGCATGTGACAAGTCACACTCATGAACTTCAAGCACACCAAGTTATTTTTCACGATGCGGGCTCGCCCCCAAGGAAACACAATCCTCCACCGCGGTAAATGCGCTTTGATTGCCTGATTAACGGTCAACGGGTTTTAGCGTGTTGCGCGAGCGCTTAATTGTTTCGTGACTTCCATGTCTTGACTTGAGTGAAAGTTGGCCGGGCAGCCGTTGCTTGCAATTAATCAGCGTAAGTTTCTATGTGGGGCCGAGGGGAGGGGGGGGGTGAGGCCCACTGCCGGGGTACCTATCCCAGAAGGGAACTGGTACCTTTGCCAACTGGAAAGAGTAGCTCGGTGCCCTGCATGGCAAGGGCCAAAGCCTCTGGGGCGACGCACTCGCACAGGAGAACATAGACGTTGTGCTGGTCCGACATGTCCCTATATGGAAAGCCCTATGTGGGGAACACACAGCTACAGCTTAAACCGAAATCCAGCTTGACAACTCATGGCCAGCGAATCTCCTGGGAGTCAAAAATCAAATACCTTATGAGCCTTGCGAGCGCGCATTCTTAGGAGCCTGCGGCTTCCTGCTTTTTTTGCTTTTGCTGTTAGAGGAGCCCGAAGCATCCTACTCAATTGTGCCAGCACAAGATGTGCCCGATATTGAAATGGCAAGACATACCATGCAACAAAACATGCTGTTGGAGGAGCCGGAAGCATCCTATACTCAATTGTGTCAACACAAGATACGTGCGCCCGATATGGAAATGGCAGGACAAGCCGTGCGACAATTCAGCGAATATACTACAAACATGCGCAGCTGACCCCCGTCGGTTGACACGGATCCACGTCAACCCGAATCCTCGTCAAGCCTTTTCTAGACGAATCCTCGTCAACTCGAATCAGCGCTGAAAAAAACGAATCCTCGCCATCGAATCCTCGCCGGAAGGACTGAGCTCCCAACCTCAGCCCAGTCGTTGCTCGCCCCTGCAATCAGGTCAGGCCTGGGCAGGTCTTGTTTGCGTGTCGGGCCCAAGCAAGTGTTTCTGTGGCATGTTCAAGCGGGCGAGGACTGCATAAGTGACGCGTGGCGCTTGGCCAGGGAGCAACTACGGCAACACAAGTGGGCCTCAGGGTTTGAGTGGCTGTGATGTTTGCACTCTCTGCTATCGCATTACACAAGCTGAAGCTGGAGCAGTTGGTGTGGCAGACCTGGCTTTGAAGCCGGAAAGCGCGTCCAAACATGCGTGCGTTTGGAAGTGGGCAAAATCTACCCTGACCCTGACCTTCATTATGTGGACACTCCAATGTTTATCAAGAGGAGATCCGTAGACAAGGTTCCAATCCTTTTGCCTTCAGTTGCCCTGAAAGAGCACATGACGTTTGAGCTACTGAGATCCTGAAGAACTTGGAGTGCTACCAGTCTCACCCCGTGGTGCAAAGAGCCAGGCAAGATAACCCCCGAGCTTGTGTCAGACCATTGGCCTTGCACTGCGACGGGGTGCAACACACTCTCAACGATTCGTTCCTGGGGTTCTACGTCGCTGACATTCTCTCTGAACAGAAGTTCTTGTGGCCCTTATTTGATTCAAGCCTTCAACGAAACTAGAAACACCTTCAAGGTAAGGGTTGCAACAAAGAAAGGTCAAGATGAGATGTGCCAATGTGGTTGCCGGGGATGGTGCTCTTTGTGCCCCTTATTGCTCGCCTGG